ATTATGTAAACAAAATACCTCTGATACATCTAGTGGAGTGCAGTGCTTATGAAATCTTCCTTATCCTACTGCTACTTGCAGTTCTTCAATTGAGGCAAATGATTTACTTTTCTGGTTTTGAACTACTTTTCTCTGAATAGGCGAATACATTTAGCCCTTGTCTCAGGCAATTTGATAAGCTTTTCAACCTATATTTTGCTTTCTTTGTTCTTGGCTTTCCTGAACAGCTGAGAAGAAGGCAAGTAGAGAAACAGCAGCTTTGGACTGCAGCCCAAGAATCTTTTCCCTCCAGCATTCTGTGTACATCACTTCTTTTATGACATCTTCCTACCATACCCAGATGTAAGCAAGCCCACGGTTTCTTGTCCACTGTACTGTAAACAGAAAATGCTGTGAAGTTCATGGCTTACTACTGGAAGCATAAATTATTTATACAAATATTCAGCTTCACTTAACAGTGAAACAGATGTCAAAAATAAAGTAGACAAAGGCCATTCCTAAATAAGGAATGAAGTTGGTGATAGGATGACCATCAAATGTAATCCTGGCTTGTTTACACATGAGTATTCATAATTTCATATGGCCCTGTACTAAGAATAATTCAAACTCTCTGCCAGGGGTCTCATAAGGGAGTTGTGGCTCCCCAGGACATTGTCAGCAACCTAGACAGGGGTCACAATTTCTTTTGAATCCTGACCAGATTTGCACAGGGAAAACTGGAGGGCCCTCAAAATTCACTCTGGACTTTGTTCCTCACTTTGCTTTCACAAGCTTGCAGCAGGTAGTTGTAATATTGCAAGGTCTGAGATTATTAAGTTAAAATGTAATGATTAGAAGTAAGAGGTACATTTATTTTTTGCTTAATCTTAATCCAAATGAAATGAATCATTTTATTCATGGGCTGGGCAGAGTCACCCACTGGGGAAGGCAAAAAAGTCAAGACAGAGGCTGCAACTCACAATCAATGCTTTGCCCCTTTTCTTACGTCTGACACAGCTGGGGTGGGGGAGTCACACAAATTCATTTATCATCTTAGGGGTCATGGTACTGCAAAGTTTGAGGAGCCAGCTCTATGTCATGCAAGACAGTTATTTTTAAAAGAGGGACCTGAGACCTCTTTCAGAATAATAAATGATTTTTGTCTTATGCAAAAAAATAATTCTATTATCTTAACTGAATATTTTTGAATCAAACTCCTGTTCTGATATAGTGTGCTAAACTATAAGTTAGCAAATCTACTGCAGAATTAGAATATCAAAAACTTCATAAGGGCTCGTTCCATGCAACGCACTTTAGTAGGTTAATTTAGTAAATTAACCCATTTAGTGAGCTGAGCTTATTAGCACAATTATTCAGAAAAAAAATGTTTCTGACTTCTCTCTCACTCATTAAAGCAGCCCCACATTTTTCAGCCCCATTTCTCTGTGAATCTGGAAAAGGGATGTTGCAGCTTTAAGGAAACCACTCCTTAAAGTTAATGTGACTTTTAAAACAGCAGCATCTTTTAGTGAGCTATTTTAATGAATACCAAATTGATGACAAGCTTATGCAAGATCCAAAACACTTCTTTTTAGTCATTTTCAAAGTGTTCATAGTCTGACCCATTTTTTTGGATTCTTAAGCAAATGGAATATACTGGAGCTATTCAACATGCTGGACCATCCAACAGAGGTTAAAACTAAGTAAAATTACCTTGTAGTGTGAACACAGCCATTATTTTACTCTAAGGCAGGGATCAGCAACCTTTTACAGCCCAGTATCCTGGCCAAAATCCTACCAGATCACAAAATTTCATGAGAACTTGCACAGAATGCTAACATCATATATGAGACAAAATGTAAGAACTAGCAAAACCCTGTGAAAACTTGTATGAGAAGGCCAACAACTTGTGACTTTATGATATGAGATCATTGAAATCTTGCAAGAATCTTTGAACTAAATTGAATTGAAAGAGATTGCCAAAATGAAATTTGTGATCTTACAAAATTTTAAGAAATTATTTCATGTCATTTTATTTGGGACAGTAAGAGTGTCTCTTGAGGGTCTGAATCCTGACTGAAAAGGGTCTAGATAATCCATCCTCTAGGATCCTCTGGAGTTGGTTCCCCACCACCTTCTCAAAAATTAAAAAGGGAAGAAGGTTGAAAACCAAAGAAAAGTGATCAAATATGCTTGGTTTGGAAATGGTTTCAGTACGGGGTGTATTGCTTTCAGAGGAGATGGCCTCAAGAAACAAACAACCTCCTGGATCCAACTACAGGTAGTCCTCATCTTACAATCACAATTGGGACTGGAACTTCTGTTGCTAAGTGATATAGTTATTAAGTGAATTGTGCCCCATTTTATGACCTTTTTTGCCATGGTCATTAAGTGAATCACATGGACATTAAGCAAATCTGGCTTCCCCCATTTACTTTGCTTGTTGGAAGCCTCCTGGGAAGGTTGCAAATGGCAATCACATGACCCCGGGATGTTGCAACTATCATAAATACATGCCAGTTGCCAAGCATCCGAATTTTGATCACAACTGTGGGGACATTGATGGTCGTAAGTGTGAGGACCGGTTGCAAGTAACTTTTTTCAGTGCAGTCGTAACTTCGAATGGTTAAACAAATGGTCGTAAGTCAAGGACTACCTGTATTCATGCCTTGCCTAGCTGCCCAAAGAAGCCAGACAGGGCATGGGTCAAGATCTCAGGTCACAGAGTTCAAACTACAGAGAGCATTTTCCTGGATTGTACAAACTCAAAATAATCCCAGATTACAACAGAAGATGCTGCATGGCTCACCTCCATGGACACTGCCCAACTGATGTCCAACCCAGAACAGATATGAGCAACATGCAAATTCAGCTGTCATGCCTGCAGGTATTTTATCCTATCCATCTTTCTCTAAAAAGATCTGAGTAACTCTGAACAAGGCCATCAGGGAGGAATCTGTGGACAGTATAAGCCCAAGAAGAAGTGATGCTTCACCCCCTTATTGATACTACACAGGCTCAAATACGAGCTCTTACCGATGCTCATCACTTCTAATTTTCCATTACCATTGTTCTAGATGTTTTTTCCATTAATTCAGTTCTGCTGGTAGATAAACAGCAAATGGTCCAAGGCTGGGGAGGCAGGAAGAAATCCATCTTTGATCTTTATGTTTTTTTCACGTTTTTTGCCATGGTCATTAAGTGAATCACATGGACATTAAGCAAATCTGGCTTCCCCCATTGACTTTGCTTGTTGCTCATCACATTTGCCCATTATGTGATAAGAACATTTCCAGAAGATGTCGCAAATCTCCTCTTGTGTCATCTAAAATTCAGAGAAACATTAATTTAACATCTCTTTGCAGGGATAAAGAAAATTCCATTGTTTGGTATGGGAAACCCATGGGCCACACTGTAAGCCACTAGATGGTGCAATTTCATATCCTGCCAATATTCTGTAGGTGACCTGTTCACCACTTTTGTGACTCAGCGGCAATGCTTTTTGCGCAGAACACTGCAGTCCATTCCCTGCCAATTCTCTGCGGTTTTTCTTTTCCCTGAAAAGACTTATTTGGTCCAGTCTGCTGAAGGAGGATACATTAGTGACATGCATGTCACATATCCCAGTAGAATTTTAATCTCACAGCAAAGTCCTCATATGCAAAACTGATTTAACCTGCCCATGGATTCCCTTTCATCTATCCAGCAAGTTTTTTAGCCAATGTTGTGTGTCAAACAAACAAATCCACTCTTCATATTCCGCACTCAAAGCACTTATTATTACAAGATTATATGGCCACATATTCTATGTCCTGCATGAAATATCTCAATATATTGCCATGGGTAAGGCTGCTTCTAATTGGGCAGATAACCCTGAATCAAACATGGTCTGTGCCCAGATCAGGTTGTTTTAGCGTGCACACTGGTAACACTGGATATATTTCAGGATAGGGTGTGTTGTTGGGTGCTTCATCTGTTAACAATGGTACCTAAGTTTTGGTTGGCAGAAGCTTTTGAAGATCACACATACCTCCTTTCAAAGGCCAAATGTGAGATAGCTTCTTGACTAGCAAAGTAGAAAATTTTGGTTCCTTGACTTCTGAATGCAAAATTCTCAGCTGTAAAGGAAGGCTATCAAATATTACATAGAGGATTTGAAAATTCAGTAATTCCATTTTTTAATTTGTCCTAGGCTACCCTCACCCATTTTTGTCATATGGTTTTGGGGCTGCTCCCATTCATTTCCCCTATTCTTTGGTGAGAATTCTGTAAGTGCCACGTTGAAATGCATGGTTTCTGAATAACAGAAGAGTGTGGTGTATTATATACCATCCATGGTCTTCTAGGCAGCAATAACACAAGGAGGTATACATATTGTTCATAAAATATAGCAGTAATTTCCACTCACAAAATCCATAATTCATAGATATGTCCTGTTCCCAGATTATGCTTAACCATGTAAGCCAGTGTTATCCAAACTTGGCCACTTTAAGATGAGTGGACTTCAACTCCCAGAATTCCCCAGCCAGCATGGGTGAAGTCCACTCATCTTAAAGTGGCCAAGTTTGGACAACACTGATGTAAGCTCATATCTGCTTACTGATAGTTCTGACAACCTCTATTCAAACTGACCTTTCTGGGGCATAATGAGTCCCTATCTACTTTTTCTAGGCCTTTGTGTTAGGACAATATTAGCGAGGCTTCATTGCATCACTCGCCTTTTCCCATTGATCAGGCAGGCTGCAGCGGGGTTGGCTTTGCCACTGCAGTGAATCAATGCTACTTAGCTGTGGCATTGAGTTCTTTCACATGAAAGTTGCTTTTTCAGTGCTATTCCCTCCAGCTCATTTCCTGGGGGACTAGGGGGACAAAATCAGGCAACGACTGGGTTTGGATGTTCCCACAATATGGTTGTGGCTACCTAAGCACTCCTCTATGCAACTATTAACTGCAGATCAGTGATGCTTCAGCAAACTGACTTAGAGGACATGAATGGATAATATTGCCTTGAGCCTACCCTGTCCCAAGGAGGCAGCCTCTACTCTTCTTTCCTTGCTCTACTTTCTTCCCATGAGGTTTGATTATGGCTCCTTGTACGCTGGGATGGGGACCTGCCCTGCTCCTATTGGCCCCAAGGATGCTGCAGGCATGCCTCCCCTGATCACTGGTCACTGATCTTCAGGGCCATTCACCTTTTGGCAGGGAAGAATCCAGGCAAGCAGCCATCTCTCTCACTTCTTGTCAACCCTGCCAGACCTGGCAGAAGATTCCCAGGCAGGTGGCCAGGCCTTGGAAGAATGATAAGAGAAGTGTGTTTGTGTCATGAGGAGAAGAGACTCTTTAACCCCCAGTTTGCCTACGCCACAGAGAGATCCTCTGGCTTTGGAAAGCTGTCAGGGGAAGGGATTGATCTGCAGCTGCTATAACCTGTGGTATCTCTGCCACCCAGCCCTGGCAGGCCAGGCACAGCAGGACCTGATCTGCAAGCTGTGTGGCCACACTTTTCAAGACATGTTAACCCCCCACCCATTACCAGGTGCTCAAGATCCTACTACACTGGGGGGAGGGGGTGGCAACAACTTTGCTGGATGGAAATACTGGTTGAAGATCATTTTCCACCTTCCTTCCTATGGAGGAAGGGAAGCAAGGAAAGAGGGTCTTCAGCTGGCACCCTCTGCAGTAAAAGGAGTGACTGCTCCTCAGGGGAGGGAAAGGGGGACCAGGTTTTTCTCTCCAAGGAGGAAGAAATGGGGGAGAACAGCTTCTCTTGTGCCAGTTCTCCAAGGCCACAAAGTGACCACTCTGTGGGATTGGAGAACTGACAACAAGAGACTGGTGAGTCTTCTGATGCAGCTACTGGCATCAAAGGAGGATTCCCCACCCTACTTCTCTCCCCCCTCCCCAGCCTCTTTCCTGCTTCATTGCCAAGGCAGAATAGGGGGTGGAAGAGTGGTCAGCACATCCTTAAGCCAGCATACTTTTCTGCTGCCTCCTGTACAGGATAACAATAGTTGAGTGCTGTTGTGCAAAGAGCACTGAGCTGATTCAGTGTAACCCAACGCAACCATGGATTTACCTTGGGCTAAATCTAACCTACTGGATCAGACTGAATGAGCTGACTATGTCAGTTGCTCTCTTCTTGGTATTTCTTCAATACACCGCACCCCCAACTGATCTAATAAATCATGTTGTAACTGGTCAGAACAGGAATCGGTTTTTTATCTCCTCTTTCTGCTTGCCCTTTACATTTCATTATAGAGATAGATATTTGCATTGTGTAAGAATTATGTAAGCAATATGGCACAATCACTTGGTTACTTACATAATGCAAACAACCAACTGACTATGCCAATATTTCAGGCTATTGCAAGTTATGAAGCCATTTACACAAGGAAAAAACAAATAGAAATTATTGTATGAACCAATCAGGAGAAAAATTGCTATTGCAAAGTTTTGGGGAGTATGGCATAAGAAATGGAAGCAACATTTGCCTGTAGTTTTATGGAATACAGCACAAAAGAGAAGAGTCGTTCTATTTACAAGTTGATTTACTGCATAATTTACTGCCTAATCAGTAGCTACCATTTCTTGAAGTGATATACAGGGGTCAGCATTTCAGGTTTTCAAAAAAAAGAAAAGAAAAGAAAAGAAAAAGAAATGTAAGGTGATATTTCCCAAACAGAAGTCTTTTAGATGTATTAGGATGAGGAATAAGAAATCAGTCACTTTCAGTTT